ACACACACACCCACACCCACACCCACACCCACACCCACGCTCACTCATACCTACACCCACACCATGATATCTGGCACAACATATACTTCACTGTTCGAGAATACCTGCCCTTGGTTAGTCTTAAAAATATTTTTAGCTATTTCTTTATTTTGCTACTTATTCGTTAATGACGACTTTGCATAATAAATTTTCATTTTTATAGTAAAGTATTCTTGTGACTTTTGAAGTGATCAAAAACAAATATTACACTCTTCAAAAGGTTGATTCTTTAAAAGATGAATTTCAAGTCTTTGTTTCATTGGTTTATTCGAAAAGTATTCAATTATAATCTTTTTATGCTCGAAGAAGATGATTATGTTGACGATGATGAAGTACAAGACCCAGTAATTGTTCTTAAACACCAAAAATATAAAACATGGCTATACGTTCTTCTTCTCGTGGGTAAGTCACATACACGTTTTTCATTCTTTAAACGTATATTTATGTTTGAATCGATGACTGATTTTCAACTTCCTCTTCTACAAATTTATTTGAATTGTTTGGACCATATTTATATGATACCTATTCCATAGTTACCAATTTCAGGCAAATTTATGAAAAAATCTATTCGAAAAGCAGAACTCAGATATTAGCTTTGATATTGTTGAGAATATATACACGCATACGCATAGATCCACGTCTTCCTAAGTATTATTCTGGAAGTTTCTCTATGGAAGTGATATTATATATCCCGAAGATAATACTTTTTACTAAAATAGGTCGATCTTTATATCTGAACTAACTAAAGTTGAAAGCTAAGGCACAACAATCAATATGACTATCAGGAGTGTCTGCAGTACATTAATAAATATAAATAAACTAGACATTAGTTGAAATTTATTATTTCTCTTAGCCTTAAATATGAACAAATTGGGAATAAAAGATATCTAAAATAATACTATTTAGAGTCGTAGGAAATGTTAAATACCATTTATATGTGACTGGCTTTTTTTAGAATGACTGCAGAATAATATGACACATTTTTTAATTGTATTTGTGGATGAATTTCAATATCAAATATAAGTAGTTGCATAATTTTTCTTATTTATTTCAGTGTCTTTATATATGATTTTCTACGCTACTTTGATGAAGACAGAATCTTCAACAGTTACTGTGTCTGATATTACAATTGTCAAATTCAATGAACTTTACTCAAAATATAAGGAAACTCTTTCATGTCCATGTTCAACAACCAGCATATCTTATAAAAATTTTGTTTCCAGTACAATCAAATTTCATCCTGTTTGTTCAAGTCGTTTCGTTAGTCAAGAATGGATTCATGCATTATATTTATCAAATGCAAGCCGATATAGAGTGTCGGATTTTCGAACAACAGCTAGTTCTCAGGTAGGTTAATATTAGCTACTCAAAAAAAAATTATTGAGCTGATTGTCGCACAGTTCTTCATAAGAGATTTAGTATTCTAGTTTCAGAATTGATTTATATCATATGAGGACAAACAAAAGAATTTACCTCATTCAAAAACAAGAAATACTACATATTAAAAAGCTAAAAATTGTGTCCAGAAAAGATGAATTCAGGCACACGCTCATCTCATCCTCATCCTTCCTTCCTAAATCTACATCCACTCTCAAGATTGATTTTGTTTTTATTTAGTTTGAAATTTTGTCCAGTTTTTGTTCATTGGCTCACGACATAGTTAATCTTACTGAAAATGATGTTGGTAGTAATAAATTTGTTACCATTTATCTTCTCCATGGTATACAAGTTGAACACGAAGTGAATGTCATCATTGAATCTTTTAAGAAAAGTGCATCTGCTCGAATGATTATGTTCTTGGACTATTTTCGATCAACTATTCAAGGAAACTATTTAATTTCAGCTCTTAATACGAATTTAATAGTTGAACTACGCTCCTATCTTATGGCGCATCCAGTTCCATTGTTATATTCAACGAAATACACTCTTACACCTGATAGCAAATTGTCCTGTAGCAGAGATAATCCCACTAGTGCGGCCACTCTTAGCCCAGTACTATCTGAATCTGAGTCTAGTTATCTCAATATTAACTTTAAAGATCTGTCAAATTCTACAATTGTCAGTGGATTTTTCGCAGGATGTACTCCTCTTGAAGCTCTTCTTCGAAGTACACTCGATTGTTTGTATGAAATCGAATGCTTGGAATTATTGTTCGATTATTTTCCACGTTTGAACCATGTATGTATGAAACTATCTTAATTTGCATATACATTCATTTTATTTAGTCGCACATAAATTGGACCGACTCTATTCTAACTGCGAATCAACAAAATCTTTCTTTTAACGATTATTTGAATGAAATGTTGATTGAAAAATGGTTACCAGCAATAAATTATTCAATGTATTTTGATCAATGTAATCCTTCATTATGCACATACACAAAAACACATCGTGCTGAATTCATTTATGCAATCACTCTTTTCATTAGTCTCTATGGTGGTCTCATTATGATACTTCGTTTAACTGCATCATTCATAGTAAATATCTCTTTGAAAATGAGACACCGTTTAAGAAACATAAATTTCAATTTTGGTATGTTTTAAAATAAATAAAAAAATAAATACCTCATGATAAATAAAATTTATATTTAATTCATAGCGCGTCAAAACATGGGTTGGAGTAGATTTACTCAATCGATGAAACGAATAAACTTATTTAAGAAGGCCGATGATCGAACAGAAAATAGTATTAAACAACAAAAGATTACCACATATGTCTATTTGATTTTACTAACTGGTATAGTTATATTTTACTGTACATAACTTTGTTTTTTGCTGAACACATACATAGGCTATGAGAATTAAATGCATCTTCATCTGTAATACTAGTGATTCTTTTACGAGATCTTGAATAAAAGAGATTAAATATCTTCGTTGAAATCTATGTTAGTAAACTTCTCAAATTCCTCATTTAATGTCTTTCGTCAATAATAAATGATAACTTTCTATTGTTCAATGCTCCTCAAGATCTTCCTGTCAAGAAGATATCTATAATAACATATTCACTGCTTTATTTTTCTCATTAGGTTCAATTATTATTCTTCTTCTCTTCACTACATTGAGTACTCAAACAGTTACAAGGACTATTTCAAATCCGTCATTTATTACTTATAAAAAATTACAGATTTCGTACTTCGCCACACTCACTTGTCCTTGTTCAACTCAAACAATCTCGTATCGTTCATTCGTTTCATTATCTTCAACCTTTCATCAAGTATGTTCAAGTATTTTTATCAGTGATCATTGGATTTCGTTATGGGATGAATACATGATTCCGGAGCTTCATAATGATTGGCGTATGCAGGCTTCGTCACAGTTTCGATTGTTGGCCGATCTTTGCAACCTAGCTAATAAAACGATTCATGACGCTGTCGACCGTTTTTTGACACAATTCTTCATCGCTTCAACTGTGTTCAATGAAACTGATTTCGATACACAACTAAATGTAACACTCGAGCAGTTGTATCAGTCGACGCTTTTTTACTTTACCCTTCAGAACGACGTTGTACGACTTTTTACACAGATCGATCAGCCTTATATGAGACCAGCTGTGCATCATAAGGATATCGATAGCAATGATTTAGTCATGAACCACATAAGAAATGAAAAGAGCAATCAACACTTAGTACCGGTATGTTAATATTCAAAATAATAAAATGTTCTATTCCCTTTTACGAATGATAGTATATCATCGAACATAATAACAGAAGCAAGCAAAACCGTGTGCAGTTAGAACAGACTAGAGCAACGGAAAACTAACTGATCAATTATCATATAAAATATATTCATTAAAGCATTATTCTATTTAGAGAACATATAAGAAAGTATCTATATGATATTTATCTGATATAAATATTCTGTAATAAAGTCGATACATATGTGTCTGATATACTAACTTCTTTTCAACACAGTAACTTCAAATAACAGATAATATTAAGTAACGACATTCTGAGACAATAGTTCAAAACGCTGCTTCTGCATAAACAATGTTAAATGAAGTTATGAATATGTGAGTCGATTTAAGTCAGGCTAGGAAAGTCAGCCTATGAGCTGTTACATCATGATTCGATTTGAATTGACCTCAATAGCTTGCCTAGAATATCTGTCTAAATGGATATAGTTTCTAACAAGCCGTTTTTTTAGAATACATTCATCAATACATTGTATATAATCGTTATTGTATTTTCCAGAATTTTTTTATACGAAGAATGTTCTTACGGATTTTTTTTCTAGGGAAGCTTTCCATTATTAAAATAGAGGAATATTGATCACTCAATATTGATTGATAGTAGAACATGAATTTTTCTTTATTTTTCTAGTTATCATTTATTTTGTCTGAAATTAAACAAATAAATTCGACATCGATCAGCTGTGTCTGTGCCACTAATCCTGATTGTCAAACTGCAGCCGTCATTTACGGCGATTATCCTGATGGTTTTACTTATTTAGACACGAATGTTATTTATAAAATACCAGGTTTTATCAGAGGCTGTCTTAACAGTGACTCTCTTCTACAATCGACTCTGCAATGTCTATATACAGAATCAAATTCAGATTGTTTTGCAAGACTACTGATTTACACATCAGTGTTCCATCCAATATTTGAACCAAATAGATCTGCGCTTGATCTACATCCACTTGTTTCTGATCCAACACGGAGTCGTTTTCCTCCAAATACTTTAATATCAATTATCTTTAAAGAAATGATGCTGGAACAGTGGAATTCAAATTCATCGTATGAACAGTTTTACAAATCATGTGCACCAAAGTATTGTACTTATCGTCAGAAAATTCGCACAAAGACTATTGTGGGAATATTTATAACATTGTTGTCCACGATCGGTGGTCTTGCTGTTTCTCTACGTTTTATCACTCCTTATTTTGTCAAATTGCTTTTCAAATTATGGACAATGATACGTAAAAGAAAACAAAAACAACAAGAACAACAAGAACACCAAGGTAGTCATTGAATAGTAGGCGTGTTACTTTATATTTACTTTATAAAATAAAGATAAAGAAAAAGTTACTTTATTTTCAAGAATAAAGTTAAAATAAAGAATAAAGAAATTTTTTTTTCTTAAAAATCTAAAGTTTTATCTTTTACAGATAAGCCGCCAAATATTATAAGGACACAGACTAAAAAAGATTCCGGAAAGAAGTTTTTTCCACAAATCTCTTATGCTTCACATTCATTTGCTAGTATTATTCTATATTAGACTGTGACTCGTGATCAGAAAAAAACTGCGATCAATATTACCTCTTTTTATATCAATTAGATATCTACTTACTAATCACTTGAAAATATTTTCTTTATTCTTTATTTTAACTTTATTTTCACAAATAAAGATAAAGATTGTCGTTACTTTATTCTTTATTATAAAGAAAAATAAAAATAAAGTAACATCCCTATTGAATAGATATCTATGAAAAAATAAACAAGGAGTAGGGTGTGAGTGTGGGTATAAATGAAATCGAATGACTACACACCCGCACCCTCAAATATTTGTTGTCTTACATAAAGCAAAATTTAAATTTGTTTCAACCACCTTATTCGGTTGAAAAATAGTAGGCTTTATATGAACGAAGAAGATGTATAATTTGTTTTTGTGTGTATAGTTCATCAAAACTGGTGCGACCGATTCAGAAATACTATGCGAAGTTTGATTAATCTTTTACGTACCACTTTGACTGATCTAAACATATTCTCATTACGTGATATGAGCAGTGGTATGGATCGAATAACAGCTAAACGTCTTGGTCGATGGGCGACTCGTCTCTACATTGCTTTATTCATCAGCGGTCTCAGTATTCTCACCATCTACAGCGTAGTTCAACCACAAGTAGTGACGAAGACTTTCAATAAACCATCTTTTAGTATTTATACTGATTTACAACAAAAATATGGAGATAAATTAAAATGTCCATGTTCAGTGATTGCATCGATTTATGATCAATTTATCGAAATTGAACCAATATTTCATGAGGTAAAATAAGATTATACTAATCTGCTAAATATAAACGATAATCGATATAGTCGCGGTTCTTCTCTTCGTCTCTATTATAAATCTTAGTAAGCGAAATGAATAATATCTTTAATAAATATGTTGATAGTTGACTAAATAAAAAGATACTTATCCTGTGAGAATTTTGTTGTGGACGTTTTATATGAAAATTGAGAATAAAGTTTTCTCTCTCTTTATGTCTTTTGTTATTTATAGATCTGCTCGAGTCCATTTGCAACAAAGCAATACCGCAATGAACTTATAGCTGGTCTAATCTCTAACTTGTCTATTTATGTATCAGGAGACTATCGCCGTTTTCTTTCTGCTCATTTACAAGCTTTGCAAGGATTATGTGAACTCTCTAAAACATCAGTATACGATTCTATTAACCAGTTTCGTACTTCACTGTTTGTTACTTCTCAACTTCTATCGAAAATAAATTTTGATGATCAGCTTGGTTCGTTAATCGAACAAACCAAATCCAATGCTCCTACTACAATCCGTCGACATCTCTTCTTAATTCGAAATATCAATCATGGAAATGCTTACATGTCAACGTATGGAACAAATTTCGAATATATTGGTGCTCCAAATGCACCTACATATTCTTATGCATCTACTCGAGCTATAATCTATGATGAATGTTCTTGTGGATTGCATCTAAATTGTACAAGTCAAGCAAATTTTATCGAATCAAATTCATCTAAACTGTTTCCAGTCAAAGGCTTGAAAATAGGTTGTACTCCAAGCGAATCATTTCGTGCTTCAACTCTTGAATGTTTTTATGATCGTTCATGTATTGATCTCATTCATCAATATACTAATTATACGAGATCTCACAATCCTGTCTTGAACATGACGAGTCGTTACTCAATAAACACTACTATAGCTGAACTTATTGATAATCTATTCATAGAACGATGGGCGACAAAGATGAATTATTCATCTTATTTTCGTGAATGTTCTCCACTGTATTGTTCATATACTTATATTCAAAAAAAAAGCAGCTTTATCTATACAATAACTATCTTACTTGGTCTTCAAGGTGGTTTATCAATTGTTCTTAAATGGCTTTGTCCTAAAATAGTTCGAATTGCATCTAAAGTAAATGGTTATCGAAAAAAACGAATGAATACTATTCATCCTATCAATTCTCTTGAAATTACATCGAATGTTACTCTTAGCACAACCATACATAATCCTACTTGTAATTTAGAATCAAGACCAACACCTATAACATCTCGGTATGTTTTTTTTCTGTTGTGTTCATTCAAATTATAATCTGAAATATCTCTTTATTAGAACAATTGTTACTACATCAATTCGATGTTCTTGGAAGGTACTCTTCAGATGTCTACTATTGATTTCGATCATAGTAGTTCTAATTATTTTTTCATTTTATGTCGCACGACAAGGTAAGAATAGGATTCCCTCAACAACTATGATTTTTTTGCCATGCTAAATCACTTCAAATTCATTTTAAAACCTTAAATAAATTAACCTCAAAAAGACGAATTAAGTATAAGTGTGATAGTCACTGATTATTCTTGATGTTCTTTGATATGCAATTTTACTTTGAATTTTCTTCATGTTTCACCTATTAAAGTTTTTAAAAGAATATTTATGAAATATGTTTTTACTAGTTCCGTCGACCAGTACGACAAATGATACTACTAATTTGAACTCAACAATAAACACAACAACATCAACATTAACAAGCACAACAGGTCAGTGAATTAAAGTAGAAAATTGACGGACTTCAGTTCTTATAGTTTGATTATGCAAGAAAAGAAGTTATTGTTCCAAAATTCAGTGGATATCTTTTAACTATAGATTCACCTAGAATCACTCGAATTGATCTTTTATTCTGTTTATTTTTCTATGTTATAGTGATCGAACTTAGATGATGAAAGTCAAGCAAGAGTTTTTCAGAACTTATATAAGATAAAATCGCCACGAACTTTCTATCTAGTGTGGACTGACGCATTAAATTTTAACAAGGATTTTTCATTTCTATTAAAAAAGCAAAAGATCGTATTTTTTTCGGCTGATCATACAGTTTGGAGAGATTTTCCTCTATGTTTTGACTTGAAAATATGATAACTGTTCTAATATTAACCTGCATAAATCTATTGCCAGATACCTTTACTTTAAGAATACGAACAAGTAATTCATCATTTTCTTTTCATTAGTGCCATGTTCTAAGTTAAACTTTCAACTAACATCAATAAATATATCTGATGTTCCACTTTATGTACGATCATTTGCTGTTGCTGACTTCAACAATGATAATCGACTTGATATTGTGGTTTTTTCTAACTATGACGAAAGTGTGCTTATACTACGTGGAACTGAGAATGGAAGTTTTACAGCAGAAAATATTTTTCCAAAAGGACGTTTTGACCTTGTGAACATTATGAAAATTGGTGATTTCAATAATGATAATCGAGTCGATCTCGTATTTACCTATGGAAATTTAGACTATGTAAACATTCTTTTTGGAAATGGTAACGGAGCTTTTAGAGTGATAGATATACAATTAGAGACAAGGGAATGCATTCCCGAAGATATCGCCGTAGCCGACTTCAATCATGACAATTATTCTGATATTGTTGTCATTGATAATGACGATTCTAAAGTTTGTGTATTTCTTGGAAATGCCAACAACACTTTGCCATTGTATCTGATGTTTTCTACAGGACAGCATAGTTGGCCTCAATCAGTAACCATCAGTGACTTTAATGGCGATGGACACGCAGATATTGCTGTGGCCAATAATAAAGCTGTGAATGTTGGTATATTTCTTGGACGCGGTAATGGCACTTTTGAAGTACAAAAGCGATCTTTTACTTTCATGGGTTCTTATCCGAGCCATATTGTAAGTGGTGATTTTCATGGTGATGCTCAACAAGACGTCGTTATCAGTAATGGCATCACAAACATACTCACTATGTTGTCTAAATATAGAAATGGACTTTTCACCGTCAAGGAGAATTTTTTTATGAAATCTAACGTCGTAGAACCTATGGTTGTAGGTGATTTTAACTGTGATGATCATTTAGACATTGCTGCTATGGGTAAGCCATATGGTATAGATGTACTACTCGGATATGGAGATGGTCGTTTTGAGGCACAAAGCATATTACCAGATGAACTGATCAGTTTTGACTCTAGATTTGGTGTTTATGATTTTAATGATGATACTTATCCAGACATAATCATTGCAAATCCTGAGTCTAGTTCTATAGATATCTTTTTAAACATCGGCGAATGTTGTGTACGTGGAATTCCTAAAAGAAAAACATTCAATTTCTCATAATTTTTATCTCATCTCGAATCGTGGTGGTTAGAAAGTTTTATTATTTGTATTTTCAAAAATATTTGTCAATCAACACTGCACAAAATATTGTAGAGAAAAAATAACATACCTAGATGACATGTAATTTGTGAAATTCTCTTCAATATTTTTATGTTCTTATTCTGTTGTTTACTTCTTTAGTATGCTTTATCTTTTATTCTATTGCTTATTTAACAATATTTCAAATTACATTGTAATTACTAAATTTACTTTTAATTCTATAAATCGAATTATTTATATGAATTTGATTTAACCATGATTTATTAAGATATTTTTTAGTAAAGTGTGGTTGTTCATGCTGAGGTGGTATTTATATGTATTGCTTTCATCCACACCCACACGCTCAAGAACTATCTCAATAAACTCTTTGATATATGTATATTTATGGAGAAAATCACTTCTGCTACGAAACATAGTTCATCGTAAATTTAACAGATGTACAAAAAAATGCATCTTGGTGATAGTGCGAATGATTGGCGATGGAGATTGATGGAAGTATAGGTACTATATTTAATCGACACCTATTCTAAGTCGATGAGAATGAAACATGATCTACTGTATATTAAAAAAGATTAAAGTATTCTTTTAATCCTTCAAAGGAATGAAATTAAAAGTAAGAAATGAAAATAAAATAAACCGGCATCAATACGACAGTACCAATCTTTCTTTTTTATAATAGTTGTGTCACATAATTCGCTATAGCAATGCAGTGCCATTTCTCCTCATCGTTCATTGGGAATTGGACGGCGATACTGGTATGGTACTACTTGATGAGTAGTGCACTTGCTAGAGCAATAGATCCAGTTGGACTTAGAGCATCTTCAGCTCTTTCTGGCGTTCTGTTTGGCACAACAGCTAGCATTAACAATTTACGAAAAGATATCGACGGTGGCCAGTACAACTCATATATCAAAAAAAAACTACCATGTGATTGACTTCTAGGCTCGACTCCAAATTCCACAGGATGGGCTCAACAGAATAGAATGCAAATACGAGGACATACTCTAGTGTGGGCTCAAGACAAATATATGCCCGACTGGTTATTGAAACAGGAATCGTCATTATCATCCGACAAAGTCAAGTTGTTGTTGAGTGATTACATTCATGCAGTAGTTGGTCGCTACCGAAGCAAAGTACTTTGGTGGGATGTAGTAAATGAAGCCATCGAGGATTCAAAGAATAATAGTCGCCCATTTAGTTTGCGTGATTGCTTTTGGTATTGAAAACTTGGTCAAGATTTTGTTAAATATGCTTTTATGTTTGCTCATCAAGCTGATCCTCAGGCTCAATTATATTACAATGATTATAATAATGAAGATATGGGATCAAAATCAAGCAGAGTACTTGAACTGATCAAATGAGTGAGATCACAAGGTGTTATCATTCATGGTGTCGGTATGCAATGGCATATACGAATCTCACGAACAGTCAATCCTGGTGATCAACATTACCAGAATGCTCAACGATTAATAGATAATGACTTTGATTTCATGGTACCTGAGTTGGATATAGCTATTCCGATAAATGCAGGAAATCCTCGAGATTCGAACGATTTAGAGAGACAAGGCCGTCTCTATCGTGCTCTCTTGAAGTATGCATTACACTTTTCTCCAAGATGTCGTGCACTAATCACTTGCGGTTTCACCGATCGATACGGTTGGGTTCCTGCTTTTTATAACAATACGGAGAGAGCTGCACTACCTAGTGACTGGATTTATCAGCGGAAACGCGCCTATATGCAAATGCAAGAAGAATTAGCTCGTGTTCTCCCCGCTAGCATTTATCGTCTCGCGCCGAAATCACAACCAGATAAATGTCTTGGCACTTATGTTAATGACAAAGTCGATAGAGTTCAATTAGAAAGTGGTGGATGCAATAGTGCACATCAGAAATGGAATATTAGTTGGCTTGATAATGGTACTTATCGATTATCGTCACAAAATGCCAACGCCAGTGCTCTTACCGCTTACAATATAACGGCAAAAACTGGTGGAGTTCAAACAAACCATTGGACAAGCAATGTTAATCAAGAATGGGTATTTTCTTCGTATGGAAACAATGTATTCCGCTTCCGACCTCGAAATGCATGGTGGCGTGTATTTGCTCTTCACGATACATCCAACGTCGGCATCGTCGATTTCATTCAGAGCGATGCTCTACGCTGGATTTTAACTAAAGTGTAGCTATACATTTCTCTTTTTAGCGGCAAGTCTGTGTCAAGCTTTATAGTAGAAATCTATAATTTCATTAAACTGAACGACTATAGGCAATAATATATAAGAGAAACAGATGTCTTCGCTTCAAGTCTTTGAAAATAGTCAATTTATTTGAGTGTTAGTGTTTCATCACTCACATCCTGCATCCTATTTTTGTTGAAGAACAAACAAACAATATTGAAATGTTTCAAATTTAGAATAATTAAAGTACAAAGATAAAACTATATTCAAAAAAGAAAGAATCGTCGTTAGAATGCATAATTTAATCATTAACATGATCGATATTAATGAACAAATGTTAAATAAATTTGTCCCACGTTGGATCCTTCAACTCCAATTGACTACAATATATATTATTGTATTGACGTGTTCGTTGATAGAATTCAATAGCTTTGTTAATTTGTTCGATCAACTTAAAAGATAAATGATTGCAAAGATGAATCTTAGAGATCTAGAAAGTTGAAAATGTGAAAAGAAAAGATCTAACAAGAATCCATTCACCATAATCTTGAGGATGAGTCTGGGTTTAGGTAATAAAACTAAATCAGAAGGAAAAGAAGTTTTGGATAATGATGAAGAAGGTGTGGAATGTCGGTCTGAGTACCGGTGGGTAGGTATGGGTTCATGTTTTATTTACTCACACCTACATCCTAAAGAAAAAGGTTTTTCTCCAATTTTTTCCATTAATTTTCAATAATAAAACTTTATTTTTCATTTTATTTCTCGATTATTTATTCAACAAAATTTTTTTTCTTTTTTTCAAAATTAAAATTTCAATTACAAAATTATTTCAAATTTTTGAATTCGATGATTCCAACAATCGACAACATAAAAATTTCCTTCATCATCAAAAGATAAACCTGTGGGACTATTCAATTGATTTGACTGATTTCCTCCACCCTTTCCACCAACAACAATTTCACCTTCTACATCTCCTTCATACCAACGCATTACTCGATGATTCCAATAATCTGCTACATAGATTTGACCAAAATCATCAACAATTAGTCCTTGAGGATAATACAATTGATTGAGATTTCCTCCAGCACCCTGTCCTCCAGCCACAATTATTCCTTCTTTTGCATCTTTTCTCCATTTCATCACACGATGATTGCCCCAATCTGATACATAAACAGATTGATCTTCATCAACAAAGATAAAACTAGGAGAATTGAGTTGATTGAGTTTATTTCCTTGTCCATTTTCACCTGCCGCTACAATTCCTGTATTATTATATTCTCCCATCTTCCATCGTCTCACTTCACCCTTGTTCCGATCAGAAACATAAAGAAATCCATGTTTACTCATTGTCAAGCCAAAACAGTCAATATTGTCAATGAGAATTTGTTGCTTTTCGTTCGACCATTGGATCACTCGTCTGTTCCGTTCATCAGCAATAATGATCGAATGATTTTGTTCATCAACAATCATATCTCTTTTAACATTCAGTTGATCCATTCCACCTGCAATGATTTGTCCTTGTCTTGCATTATATTTCCATTCAACAATACGACGATTCTCAGAATCAACAATAAAAATATTTTTGCTTTTATCAATAAAGATTCCAGCAGGACCATAGAGTTGATTTAGCTCTTGTCCTTTTCCATTTCCACCAGCTACAGTGATGGCATTTTGTGTCCATTTAAGATTGATTTTATCTAAAAAAAGAGGAAATTTATGGTTTCAAAATATCCTGAGAGTGTGGATAAAAATGTTGTATCTATCATTCACTGATCCACTCACTTTTCATTGGTGGTCAGTAACTTTCATGGATCATTGCAGTTGGATAGCAGAGAGGACGATCATCGCATTGAGGATGATGAACACAAATTGTACTAGATTGAAGACACGAATTATCTGAAGAATTGCATGTTACAAGACGGGAACATGTTGGCCATAGAAAACCACAAACACCTGTATTATCATTAGCACCCAACATATGAAAGCATCCACATGCACTGTTTGTGGAACATTCACCATATTGTGACGTTTTCTCACATATTTGAGATTTGATTTGAACTATGAAAGTGATAAACTAATACATATAAATAAGAAAATAGAATAAAAATCAAACCTGTTTCGCTAAAATATGAAATCAATGGATGTTAAAAAAATAACTGATAAAAATCAATAGTTATTTACCTGAGAATAATGAAAACGACATAGCAGTAAATATTGATTGTATTCATAGTTGATTTTAAAATAAGAGAATATGATGAAAAAATGCGTGTTTTTATTTCTAAAACATAGATAATATCTTAAGTCAATTTAATTGAAATATAAAGGATGCATCTATTCACATATCAATAATTGGAAATTTAATATTCCATTC